GCCCCCTACAACACCTAAAGGGGTCCGTGACTGCATTTTTCAGCTCTCACACAGACACATCTTCTGTCCATGCCCTGCCTCCTTCACACAAACACTTTAATCCAAGACTCATGCCCAAAGAAAACACCTTAAGCATGCCTAGTGCCTCTTTTGGCCTCTGAGAAATGCCAAAATGGACATGCCAWTGTAGGACAGTCACTTCACCAGCTTTCAGCATTTGGTGGGACAATGCAGACATTTTCYGTGCACCTGGCTTTTGCTTTCTGTAAATGCTAACAAGTCTGACAGTTTAAGCTACAAGAAAAGCAGCACACGCTTTGCTGTGCCCAAATGTGCTGCTCAACAGGAAGCACTAAGAAAACAATGTTTTAACAGCCGTGAATGTGGCAAGATGAGCTCTTTTATCTGCTTACCAGAAAACTGCTTTAAATAGAGATGCAACCACAACACTGTTAAGCTGCAAGGTTCAGTATTTGAGTGATTCAGTTCAAACTCACTACTCCAGTGCATCACTGACCACTTTTCAAGACTTAGCTTCACAGTCATTATTTCAAATCTTCCTCTAAACCTACATGCACAYGAATTAGATCTAAGTGGTCATTAAACTGCACTGCAGAGATACCTTGGTTTACTGGTAAATATTTGCAACCACAGGTTAAGTGGAGGCAGGCTCATACATTTCATTTCCTTGTCACTGTTTCTAACTTGATAAGGCAGGTGCATGACCTACACTGACTCCCAGGTCAGTGATTCTCCTACTGCCCTTTGGCAACCATGTCACGTGAAGAAAACTGTTCCTCTGGGATAAAATGCAGGAAGGATTTTAGTGAAGAAAACCATGTACTTCACATGCTTCCACCTACAATTTGACATGGGAGCATTCACATTTACACCAGAGTTTGTCTTCTAACAAGAGCCCTCAACAACACAGCCTAGACTAGGTCTCCATCAGATTTTAAAGTGTTCAGAACTTGTGCCCAGAATGATAGKCCAACATGAACCCTGCTGTCATAGTGCAGGCTTCAAAAAGAGTTCAAATGCAYAGGCAGCATCCTGAATGCGCAACAACAATTCATTAGCTGCAATACCAGTCACTCAGTAGATGGCAGCTGTTGKTTTGCACAAAGAAAGGCTTATTTTCATTCAGAATTGTAGCTGGGAACACTTCACTCASAGTAGAACAAGTTTAACTCATTGCAACACAGAGGACAAGCTTCTGACGTTCTCTTAGCCATGATCAGCAAGACCATTGTGAAGGCTAAGCCAGTTAAGGACTCTGAGCAGAACAGGAGTCAGCTCAATCACTCCAGCAAKGAGGACAAGTGAAGGGTCAGTTTATCAGCTCAGCCTGAGGGCCACAGCAAGGGACCTTGGCTGTTCAGGGTGATTCTCCATTCTCCACAATGCTTCAGGCCATATACACAAGTTTGGGYTTTCCACACTAGCTCCAACAGAGCCACATGGAAATGCTTGTAGTAGTCCCAAGAAACTTTTAAAAGAGCAAGTTCAGTATTTTAGGATCACTAATTCTTATTGTACTTTGGGCAAAGTTGACAGGGTTATAAGCTTGCTACCAAGCACAGGGTGGAGCCTGCTGGCTTCACTGGGATATCTCACATAAGGAGTAGTTGCAGGGTCAGGTCTTTGGCTGCCCAGCAGAAAGTATTTGCCCATTCTCTTTGTATACAAGAGGGAACAACACTCTTTGTGTTGACAAGAGGGAACCAGGTAATCCTGAAACTGGGTAAATGGATTTAATAGAAAATTCATTCTTCTGGTGGCCATTGAAGGAAAAATCACTGGAGATTACATGTCTCTCAGGGTACAGTATATATCTGAACAGAAAATAAAATCTAGTGAAGTCAATGGAAAAAACACACTATTTCTGCAGGTTTTGGATGAAGTGGCATCTGTTCTGTTTTCTCTCTGCTAAGTACACAGGTACTGCTCTGCTACCTCACAGCATGCAACACAGAAAACCCCAGGCAAAGCTGCACAAGTGTGCCRTGTTAGCTTTCAGTGGAAACTTTTCTGTGCAGGATTACCAAGATAAGAATTTTTCTCTTTATAGTCTTTGATAATAAGGTTTTGTAACATTCTGAATAAAAACCCAGTGGTTTCCCCACAGGAAACCCACGATGCTGCTTTTAATAGGAGGTACAATTTCAGGAGCAGTTAATGAGATGGCATTGTGCTCAACACTGGTTTAARTAAAGCTGTGATTAAAGACAGACTTTGTCTACAATGCACAAATGACCCTGATTAGTTTTTTAATTTTTATCATTAAGTACAAAATTCATTGTAAGAGAAGAGCTCTCTGCAGCATTTGAAGCTCACTTGAAAGGCCTCACTCTTTGTGGCAGCTATTTTCAACCAACCTCTCTCCTGCAGCATTGCTGCTCATTTGTGTTCACTGCACAAGGAGCACCAGGTCTGCACCTGCCTTTATCGAAGTAAAGAGTCACATGCTCAGCTTAAAAGAGCAGTTCTACTTCTCCAGTATGTTTGTGAGACTAGAGCAGACTCCACTTCAGCATGAACTCTACTCACAACATTTCTGCTGTAGTTATTTTGCCCAGCAAATTCCRGGATTTCATTATTAAAAATATATTCCCACTTCAGACAGGAATATAATTTATATCTTGCAGAARTACCTGTTCTTTTCAAGACTTCTACTGTGAACAGTGTCTCTCACATCCTTTGCAAGGGGATTTCTGCTGCAACACTTAGCATAGAAAACTATATGATTTTTCAAAGAMAGGTTGTAATTTGAGTAGTAATAAAGTAGGCATTTGAGGCCTGATGTTGGTGTCAGCTGTGCAACTTATTTGACCTTCAGGAAGCCAGAGCAAACATGCATTCTGCAGTGTCAGAAAAGCACAACTTGCTGGCAACATGCATACATTACACAAATATACTTATGCACTGTTTTTTTAACTCCATTTCAGCCCAGACTTACTCCTTCATATACATCTGTGCACATCAATATTTAATAGTGTTCCATTAACCTTCTCCAAGATCTTTATTAGCAAAAGCCATTCCCAGCCAAGTCAGATGTCCAGTAGAGACTGACCCTAATCTGGGAGATACCAGCAGCACACGTTTACCAAAGACCACATAAGCAGTAAAGCAGGCAGCGATGCTTTCCCAGAATATGCACCCAGGAATTTGTAGCTTGGGGACCTGCAAAAGAGGAGGAAATGTCTTTGTATGCAATAGATGAAGATGAAGTAGAATTACCTTGTGTCCTGTCTTTCTAAATATAGTCATGATTTGCCCTTGTCTCTGCTATCCTGAATAACAGCTCTTTAAGCAGACCAATGGCTCTTGACGTTTTTTAATATAGTGTTGATACAAAGGAAAGGAACAAAAGAAGCCACAATGGATTTTACAGCCTGCAGTGAATATTTTTTCACTATCTTTTTTGCTAGCTCTCAGTCTCTTGCAGGTTGCCCAAAATAGCATACCAAGCTCACATTTGATCCAATAGACTTTGCTTTTGCAGCCACTYGTAGCTGATACACTACAGCAACAATTTGCTCTTGGAGAGCAGATTTATTAACGCACCAACAGGACTACAAACCCAGAAATCCCCTGCTTCATTCTCATTGGTCACCTTTCCATTAGGCTCCTAATTATCTCCAAAGGAGTTCATTTCTTGTAAGCTTCTTCTTTTGGCTGATAAGCATTTTACTCTGAATATGCTGCAGATCTCAGATTTACTCCTCATTCTCTTAGATGAGAAACTGAGCAACTGTCTTCATTTTCACAATGCACATCTCCCACCCTCTCCAGTTTCACACTCAGTTCAGTATCCTTCTATAAGAATTCCCGCCCTTTGCAGTGTTTTCATATTAATCCTTCCTGATCTATTCACTTTGTTATGATAAAACTCTTGAGTAGTTAAGAGTCTTTATCACCCTTAAATTTAAATGGAAGGATATATTATATTAATCAAGACTAATCTGTTCCTTCTTGTTCAAATAAGATGCTAATCCAATAAATTATTTTTAAAGCATTGATCTAAGACAGTTAATATAAAAATAATATTKCAGAGAAATAGCATCCCAAGGAAACATAGATTGCAGAAGACATTTTTCTCACATTAGAGTCTTTCTTGAGGAGAAAGACTCCTTAGACTACACTAAGAGCTATTTCAGTTTATGTGTTCCAAAAAGACAAACACAGTCATGTGATTCACTTTTTTCTTAAGAAATCCTTTCTATTTCTACATAATACATCGTAGGAAATAAAATTGTTTGCTCTGAAGAAAAACCCCAAAACCCAAACTCTACCTAAAACATCAGAAGTTAACAGAAGGTTTCTTTGACTGTGCTCAGCGTGCAAGCTTCCTCTGGAAGAAGCTGCTCCGTTTCTGAGAATAAAATGGCTTCTCCACCTAAACACAGACATGTTTCATTAAATTTTAAAGACAAATACACACAGTAAGTCACGTGCTGATTTACCTCTTCTTTCCACAACTGCWCTGCATTGTGGCCCCAGATTCATAAACTCTAAAGAATGGAGGAATCACATTATGTTATTCTAACCTGACCTTCAAGAGCTGGTGGCGTTATAATTCCTTCATCATGCSTCTGAATCCTGCTGTTCCTAAACTCAGTAGGCCCTCAGCAGTGGATTTCYAGACTTGGTTTAGAAACTTCAAGAGAGGAAGAGGCATGCAGCACTCCTAGGTAAAACAATTCTGTAATTTACTTTAAGAGGTATCTAAATRCTTTTGTTGAATTCAACATAACATTAAACCCAAGAGGACTTAGATCATGGGTCTCATATGAATAAATGACAATAATAGTCCTGTAAATGTTCTTCTGTAGCAAGACGGGTGGATAATAAGCACACAGGTGCTCATAATTCTCTCTTGGAGGCAAACTCTGAAGGAGACTGTGAGTTTTCTTGTGAAAGCCTGAACCACATTTCCTGTTTGTAAGAAAGGAGGTAAGAAAAAAAAGACTGGAGGGATTTGAGATTGACAGCAACTCTACAGAGAGGTTCATGCTGCCAGGTCCAACACAAAAGAGCATCCAACATCTGCCAACGTAACTCTGCTTCCTGTTGGATAAAGGGGAGGGGAGCATTCCTAGGAACAACAAAACCAGGTAAGSCTTATCTTTTAAACTTGTAAACATAGGAGTAGTAGAATCACACTATGGTAGATTAGCAGTCTTCCAAGAAGGCTGCTCAGGGTGCTAAACCATCATTAATTAAAGTTTGGTAATGAAGACTAAGCTCTGGCATCAGTTTTATGCTGAAAATACTGTGCTGTGGGGCTTCTTATTTTACAGCACTCTGTATGAAGTTGATATTTTACAAAGCAATTAGTTGTGYACTAATTAATTGCAGTTTAAGGATTCTTTTTCAGAGAATTAATCCTGTATTAAAAGCTCACAAAGGTGGAAGCATTTTTAATGCTTATTTAACATTCATCAGTCTCTTAATGGGTTTCTTTTTCTAAGGGCCATTAGTAAAAATATTATTTATATCAACATTTAATTGGAAGGGGGGAGGAAAGACAGTTTTATCTCATCTTTGACAAATTTGTAGACAAAAACAAGAGGAAAGAGACCATTTTGTGCTCCAGATCATCGTCTTACACAYGGTAGCAATTAATCTGCCTCTGTGGATAACGAGTTGATATCACAGACAGCATGTCCAGCTAGATGGTGTCTATATTCCTCACCTCATGTTCCTTTTYAGTACAAAAATCTGGTAGAAGTATGTTATCTTCCTTTGTGATGGATTCTCTAAACAAAACACATTAGAGCAAGGAGGAATGAAATGCAGCACTTCTACCTATTCTTAAGAGGACAAATATCATGAWTTTTTACATGAATTGTTAAATTTGGCCCATCTTCCCACAGATAAGTACATGATTATGTCCAACCCCCTGAGCTGCAACAAATTGAATTTCAGAAATTCATCCAAGAAAGATTAGAATTTTTGGAGGCTTTTGTTTTTTTGGTGGCTTTTTTTTTTTTTTTTTTTTTTTTCTTTTTTGCCCTCACAGCTCTCCAATGACAGTATATTGAACCCTGTAAAGAAAAAAAAACACAAAATAAATAACCAAACATCTATTTATTCCCATGTTTTCTCTCAGTTGGTGAAGAAAGTTGTCAATAGATTTTTTAAAAGAGAAAAACCACAATTAACTATGTATTTAGAAAGTCTTTTGTTTGCCTGTGTTTTGTGGTATGTTCAGTTCACAGCAGTATAATTATACTAAGAGGTGGTGAGTGACCCCATCCCTAAAGTCAAAAAAGTAAAAACTTCATTCAAATGAAGTAAACTACACAAGACAGGTGTTCTGCTTGGATGKTATTCCAAGTTGAACCTGGTTTTCAAATAGAAATGGAAGAACAGCAGCATAGGAATGTATCATTAATACCAGATAGATTCTGATATCAGTTTTTCAAAATACTGTCATCTATATAATGATTAAATATGCTACTTCCCCACTCACATGTCCCAATAAAACTAAAATTGTTGTACCTCTCATGAAACCTCTGGGAATATAATGAACTTTTTCCTTCCACAGGGGAGCACATTACTTTGAGAATGCTTCTGTATTATTTATTGCAACAAAATACTATCATCCTTCAGTTTTCCCATCACAGATCGACTATTACAGAAAACCATAATGGAATTAGAGCTTATCCCATTAGAATCATGGTGTATTATTCCCAAGGGGCCTAATTTTTCCATATGACTTTTTTTTTCCAAAGAAATAACACATTCTTTTAAAATATTAAATTTGATGGCTTGAATAAGAATGCCCCTGAATACAGTGTCATGGGGTTTTTTGACTAACTATATAATATGTAAAAAGAATAATCTGGTTTCGGTCCATTTGAGAATAGATTACTACAATGAGAATTAAACTTAGAGAATAGAAGYCACCATTTCAAAATGAATATAATTAGTCTAATAGACTTCTCTTTCTGTTTATTTCTCACTCACCATTTACAGCCTCCTTATCTTATTTTTGTCTTTAGCACAACCTGTTCACTGTGAGAGGCTGCATCTGCTATTGTACATTTAGGGACAGCAGTGTAGTTATCTGTGGAGACAAATTGTTCTTCACACAGTTTTCCTTCTAATGCTGCTGTTGTAAAAGTAGTTATTATTAAAATAATGCAGTAATAAATATAAATAGCATATCGGAATATCCTATAAGAACAAGAAGAAGTTGGAAAGATCTGGGAATCACATATCTTCAAARCTAGGATATAAAATCAAAATTTCTCATATTTTATGCCTTTGTAATAAGATTAACTTCAAACTGATATTAGAAGGGCCTAGAGCTCTCAGAACAGCACCCTTATGCCTCTGATCAAGGTGTTTACTATGATTTTATAGGCTCAATGAAAACTGCTGTCGTTTTTCCAATGTAAGTAGTGTTGTCTGACAAACAAATATCTTATATTGCAAAAACAAACAAACAAAGAAGATACTGAAGTCACACATATGTTTGTATACATTCTACTTAAACAGAAACAGATGTTTAAGTCAGACTTGTGGAAAATACATTTAAAAATAAACTAAGTAGTGTTCATTCAGAAAGAAATTTAAATGTTCTTTTCTTAATCTACCCACATCCATGAAATTTCCTAAATCATGTTTAAGAAAAAAACTATAGATTATGAGATTTAAAACATTGATATGTTTTATTAGAAATCCAAGCTTCATATCATTTTTTTTTCTGCAGAATGTTTTTAAAGTTTTAGAGAAGTGGGATTGCAAATACAGTAGAGTTTAAAGTTGAAAACTGGAAAGCAAAAAATTTAATCCAACCTTTACTATTTTCCAGATAATAATTCCAATTTAAATCAGAAGCTGAAACAGGAAAATAATACTTGTTATTAAAAAGTGGGTCAGTTAAGGGGTGAAAATATTCAAAACAAAACTAAGGGTTTTCCTTCTACTCTGAAAACACTAGGGAAAGATCAGCAGGAAAAAATTCCTGAATCAGAGAGTTAAATTACAGCATTTTTTATCAAGAAAGAGGAACAACCTTCGATTATAACTGCAGCTTTTGGTACCTGCTCACTCTTTTTATTCTTATGAATCTCAGACTGTGGCTTGTGGAATGGGCTGCCCCAGGAGGTGGTGGAGTCGCTGTCCCTGGAGGTGTTTAAGGGAAGATTGGACGTGGCACTCAGTGCCATGGTGTTACGATCGAATTTAAATAAAAAAGCAGAGGAAACTAAGTGTCTGTGAAAAAAGTAGAACTAACAAAAAAAGGCTCAAAATATTCCCAAAACAAGATTAAAACCAAACGAGATTAAATGTTGATGCCAAAAAATTGATATACTTTATTTGATAGTAAAAGAGGCAAAGACAAAGAAAGAGAGAGAGAAGAAAGAAATAGGAAGAGTGTGCRTGGGGAGGGCAGGGGGACAGGGAGAAGATGACAGGGGTTTGATGGAAACATATCACCCTTCTGGGGTCCCAACAATGTGTCGTTGCTCCTCTCCATCCTGTCTTCTGTGTGCTGAGGCTCCCAGTGCTGCTGCTACGCCAAAGAGTACAGAATCCAGTGCATTAATGTACACTTTGGGCCAGCTGGGAATGCCCACGTGTCACCCCTGCAGGGGGCTTGGTTTGACACTGTCCCTTCAACACTGGGGATTTGTTTCATCACCTCTGGTGTAGGGTCTGGGGACCCCTTTGGGGGTCTTTGATGGGCCATGACAGCCCCTCCACTGTCCATGTGGATCAGCTTCTCCGGGGGTGCAGGGCCCCTCAGCTGAGCTCCTTTGCACAGCAGAGCACGGGTGTTTCTCTCCCTGTGACCATAGGAATGTCCAAAGCCCCTTTGGTGTGAGGGTCKGTGCTGGCCTGGCAGCTGATAGCCCTGGGGGGATGGTCCCCACCCAAAGTGCTGAGTGTGATCCCTCTGTGTTCTTCTCCCCAGCTCTGAGTTGTTCCSTATCTTATCTTTGATCAGCRGGCARTGAGCAGTGTAGCCYGGRYCCCAYTCAGGGTTTTGAWGRTTTTCTCTGCAGCTTTTGTATAGTTTTGTAATAATATGCAAAAGATCYGTCACGAAAATGTTTAAGTCACAAACTATAACATTTCAGTCTSTGACACATGGTGTYGGTGACAAGGTGGCATTCASTCATWGGCTGGACTCGATGATCTCACAGGACTTTTCCAACATRATTGATTTTGTGATTTGATCACACATGCTTCCCTTCTTGTGGGCCACAGCACTGCTTTCACTCCCTGAAAGAAGCATTTGTAGGAAAAGARATATGAAACAAACATGACAAGAATGGAAAACAATCACATCAGAAAAGAGAAAAAGGCAGGCAGGAGATGAATGAAAGAGGATTCTGATTATTTAGGCACAGCAGTGAGGCTTGGAATTTCTTGCCTTTGATAGACCTGTAGTTCTGTACAGCTTGCATAGGATGCAGTGTTGAGTGACTACTTGCAGAGTAACCAGGTTCCAGTGTCTGCTGATTCTTTATGTAGCCTGTTAACATATTTTCTATTCAGGATCTCTCATTCTTTTACTTCCTTCCCTGAAAATTTGGAATGAAGCTGCTTCATGTGGGTGTTGTTTYCCCCCATGAATGTCTGTATCCCATTGCAAAAAAGTGCCCCTCAACATGCAAAGGATCATTGCAGTGACAAACAACCCTTGAATGCCTTTGGGAGAACTGAAGTGGTAGAAAGGAGGGGAAACAGGACATTTAATTTAAAAATAAGGATAAATGGACACTGAAAGTGTCATGTGCCAACAAAAAGGTTAAAAGTCTATCAGAAAGTTAAAAGTCTTTGCTTTGCTCCTTTTAAAAGAGAATTCTGATCGGGAAAATCCTTCATCCCAGAATGCCAGGTGATTTGTGATGTTTTACCACCAAGGTTTATCTTATGTTGTTTTGTCATTATAAAAACACTTGGGGCCTGGAGTACACTAAAACGAAAAGAGCTTTGGCAACACCAGCACAATGAGGGAACAAAACCTGTAAGAAAGATTTGAGCTGGAGCTGGTCAGTCAAGGAACAAAGCTCTGCCTTCTCAGCAGGAGAAAATGCAACGCCACCCTCCCCTGGCCTGCAACATGGAAAAGTGGATTCCTGTACTCCTTTACCTCAGCTTTGCTCAAGAAGCAAACAAAATGTCAGCTTCCTGAAGAAGTCCAGATATGTCAAAAATATTGAAGTGCATTAAAGATCAGTGTGGTCCAGTCCAGCCCCTTTACTGCTCTGCTCCAGCAATGCTTTCTTTGTGCAGTATTAGAGGAGCTCATCAGTTTGGGGCACCAGGCTTTGTTTCAAACCCTCCAAATCTTGGAGAACATGAGATGTGCCTCTGGGGAAAGGGAAGAATCAAGCTGTGAGCTTCTTTCACTCACGTGTTTGGCTCAGTGTTTCCTCTGTCACGGAAGGGTTTTGCAGGCCATTTGCAGCAATACTGATAATTTTGGCCACTAGACTGTCACAAATAAGTTATTCCCTTCAACATGGTTTGTGATGGAACATTAGTATGAGATAGTTTAATCAAAGAATTAATTAAATGAAAAAAAAAAAAAAAAGATTTTGTGCAGGGGGTTTCTTTCCTGTCTTTCTTATAGGACTCCAGGGAGAGGCAAGTTTAGTGCAAAAGAAAACTTTGTTCCAGTAAGTGGAGCCACCTTTTAAAATGTGATTTTCCAGGAGCTGTTTGAACTTTTCTCTTCAGTAGYACAGGGGGCTTCACTGGTTCCCAGATGATGCTTATCGTGTATCATCTCTTCTCCTGCTTTTTCAGGCAAGACAATGAGTAGTTTTAATAGCAGGAAAACAATACAAGACAACATAACCAAATTCTGACTTTTTTTTTTTTTTGCAGGGATTGTTAATATGTTAGTCTTAGCTGCTATTCAGAGACATTTCCAGGGGATTTGTTTTGACTGAATTCAGAACTACTTTAATGAACTCTAAAATTTAGCCAAGATTTTCCCTCAAATACTAAATTAAAGACCATTTTAGAAATAATTACAAAGMTATTCAGTAAAATTACATTTTTCTTTATTAATTTCTGATTTTTACTGCATCTTACAGGCAAACTCTTAGCCTAATCTTTGGCTGAATTCCTATGAAGCAGCAYTTCTGCTAACAGTTTATTAAACTTGCTTTCTTGTTATTTAGCATCTGGTTTTGATATTAATTATCTTGTATAGCAATAGCTGTCAGAGAGCAAACAACAAAATAGCAGCTTCTATTACAGAAAGCAAAAATCAACCAAGCACAAAGAACACGGTTAGACAACACAAACCACAAAATAATTTTCTTTCACTCACAGAAATGGACTGCCACTTTTCTATCTGGGGAGTTTTGGCCTTCCTGAGTTTGGCTCTGCTTTTTTCATTGGCTCTAAATATTTCACACTGCATGAAAAAGAAGCGAGGTAAGTAGTGTCACTTTGTAAGGAATGGAGTTTCAATGTTTAAAACCATCACTGCTCAGAGATATCAAGTCGAYAGATTGATTCTTCCGAATCTTAAAATTATCTTTTGGCAAGAATTATTCTGCTAGAGAGGATTTAGCTTTTAAAATATTTTAGGAGATTCAGGTATGATTACAGAATGATTACTAACTGCCCAATCCACTGCTAAAAACACCCAACCCCATTCTCTGAAGGGAAGCCAACAGAACAAGAATTTAATTTTGACTAAATTTTATTTTTAAAGCTTATTCTTAATAACTGTAATTTTCTTTTTTAAGTGTACTTTTCCCATATTATAGTTATGGTTATTATTTATACTTCCATTTAAAAATTATTTTAAGTAGATGCACTGATACAAAATACATTTGAGAAAATTTTCTCCTCTCCAGATTCCTGAATGCCTGTTTGAATTTCAGATTCCATGCACATTTTACGCCTGATCAGTGTATTTTGGAAAAACATTTTAATTGCTTTTCATCATGGGATTCTACTGTATTTCTTAAACCAATGTGTCACTCACATGACTACAGTCAAACTCTGGTTTTACTTGATATTAACTGTTACTTTTTGGACAGAACTGATTACAACAGTGCAACCTCTCATGCATGCAATTCTATGGTTGGGATTGTGCAATCCTCACCATTCCCTTTACAAAGAGAAAACTCACCTGTGCTCCACGTGTGGAGGTGGGCAAACCAACACTGTTGATTTCAACCATGCTAAACACACCCATGTATATAATCTACATAAACAGAAACTTACAAACTGAGCTCACCAAGTATAAGGGAATCAGATAATCACAGGAGATTATCTGCAGTGTTTTGGGGTGGGTGTGGCTTGAGTTTTTCAGTTTATTTTGTGTTTTAGGGCTACTAGGTAGATATTTCTATGAGGAAAAATCACAGTCATTTACAAAATCAACCTGACTAAAGYTTAGATCAGGTTGGCTGATTCTGCATTACTCATGGAATTGGAGTTTGCAGTAGTAAATTTTGGAGTCCTGGAGCAGTTTAGAAAGTCAGGAATTCCTGAATTATTCATCAAGCTCTAGCAAGAAGTCTCTTTGTAGCCATTGCCTCTCTGCTTCGGTTTCTTCACCTGTGTGGATCACAGACATACAAGCAGAATCAGTAAAATAAAAAAAATGTGTTGCTTTGTAATATAAACACACAACATACCTCCMCAGACAGAAAAAATCTGAAGAGAGAAAAAGATGAGGTAGAAGCAGAAGGAGCAGGAGATAAGGAATGAATCATGTGTTACGATACCTTTTTTGGGTATGTAAACTGACATAGACTTTGCAGCTACAGCACAGGGTCATAACACAAACATTTCTTGTATTAGACAAAAGYAGTTGAGAAAAGTAGAGGGACAACTGAATATCCTGAGAGCCAGAGCTTTCAGCTGCATTATCTAAARTGAAATCAAAAGCATGTCTGTTGAGACAATTATGTGAAGTGTTCTAAAATAGCATGATTCATTTTCTCTTTTTTTAAAAACTATTTTTCCAGCTAAAATGCATAAAGACTACGAAGAGAGCAATCCAAGGTAAGCAGCATAAAAAAGTTTCTTTGTGGCAMGGGTAAAATAAGCAATAAATAATGACAGATGGCTTTGGAGGGATGGCATAGAAGTATCTCATGCAGTCCACCTGGAAATGTTGGTTATGGAAAAAAGTTTTCAAAAAACACCAGGAAAAAAATTCACRTGGGAGATACATCCTCCAGTCATTTTATCAACAATGAAATAATTGCATGCTAATACTATAATTTTTTCTGAAAGTGCAAGATATTGAGCTAACCCACCATTTACTATCACTTAAACTCAATAATTACATAACAATTTAAAAGAACTCTCAGCTCTCACAAAACAGCGATGAATTACAGTCTGATAGTTAATACTTGTGGAGCAATAATTTACATGTATTTACATTTCATAACCATCTTYTACACAAGATATCCAAAAGCAATAAAACAGTCTGTTTACAGCTGCAGGATACCTCATGATCTGTTGCACAAATCTGTTTCAAGTCTCTGTCTCTTATGCCATACAGAAAAAGGCAAAAACAAACTGAAACTTTAGAAAACAGAGATGGGGAGTCTCATCTCAACCCGAATATAAAAGGCCCTTGAAACAAAAATACAAAAGCCTTCACCCGTTCTCCAAAACCAGTTCTCAGTTACAAATTTTCCTGGAGTTAGGAAGACTCTGTTACACCTGTTCAGCTGGAAAATACCACTGAATGTGGAGTTRGAGCACAACTTGACTCCACTGATGAGAGGCAGTGTGGGAATGCAATAGAAAGGTTACRCAGTGCTTCCCAGGAACAATTCCCATTTTACAAACACACAGACACATATTCAACATAACACCAGTATGAAACACAGCCTACCATTAAAAATCTAAATGGGAGCTTGGCTTCAGTCTTCTCTGTTTGTGTTGACATAGGTATTTTAGTTGAACCAAGAGTGGACCTTTTAAGAACATCACCCCAAAATACACATATAGTGCTTWAGTTTGTATTTCAGAGTGGTCTCAGAGGATATGAATTGGGTGCTTTCAGTGACCATTAATTATTCTTAACCTGCTTCAAACTGTAGCTTCATGGTCTTGAGATTAGCTTTATACGTACCCAAGTTACAGGAAAGAAGAGTTCAATCCTGGGSTAGACAACAAATCTCTCCTGACAATACCCACATTGTCATTTCTGCCCCTCCAATATTTTTGATCTTGTTTGTAAGTTCACATAAAAGCTGCTATTGCAATATATAGATATACACAATCTGCATATTGCTACATGTGCATAAAACATTTATGAAAGTAGAATATTGGGGCATAAATAAAGTGTATTCTSTGAATTAAAATTATTTTTCCATTTCCCCTTGTAGCTATGATGAATATCCCACAGAAGATTATCCAGTTTATGGCAATCTCAATCAAGATATTTTAGGTAAGTTTCATTTTAGGAACATGTGTCTATTCAGTGTGATTAAAACATGTGATTAAAAACTGATTGATGTATTTTGCATTTCTCAAGTGGCAAACTTGAGAATCTACATATTTTCAACTATTGATGCAATTAAAATTATTATAAGATACTTGGGATAGAAATGCAAACCTTCATACTGCACTACTATTTATAAGAACAGATCTTATACTGAATTTGATTTTTTACACTCCATATGGTCCTGGTTCAGCCAAGTATCTCAAAACAAAGAGCTTGTCTAAAAGTAAGGCTGCACTAACTGAAGTAACAGCTTGAACCATGTCTAATAAAGCAATCTAAACCATAATTACTCACRGTCCAAAGTCAGTGCTCCCACGGAAGCAGGCAGAAACAAACACAGACCKCTTCTCTGTTGTGGCTGTCCACACACCACCAGCAACATTGACAAATATCCCGAAGCCCAGCAGCTGAAGGGTGGGCAGACAGCTTTGCTTTGCTTAACTGCGCTGGAGTTAACAATCCTTGGCAGAGAGACACCAATTAAAGGCTGCAACATCCTGGAACTGCAGCTAGAGCTAGATGTGCCGAGGGTTTGCCTYCTAAAGCCCTTATGGTGTTAAAGCAGTGTTTAAGTAAAGCGAACACAACTTTTTCTGCAAGCCTTTATTGGGATTAAGCAAAACTAACACATTTAAACTGCAGGATAATAAAAAAAAACCCAAACAAACCTAACTTTTTCATACACCGTTTGCATAAATTTAATCAAGTCAACACTCAAATGCATTGAGATTGTAAAACTCTGAAAACTGTAAGGAAGTAATCTGTTTTACTGGTGACTAAAATGTGATATAAAGTGAAAAAACAACTAAAACCAAATTTCCACAAAACTGAAGTAGACTCAGGAATAGAATTTAATCACCAGCTGCTGCAACTCACTGCCTCTTTCTCAGCCAAAAAAAARGCTGCCTATGCTGAAAAACACTTCAGTATGTGGTTACCTCTTAATTGCAAGAAGTCTTTCAACACACTCAAATGATGCCCACTTAGTGAATAATGAGAAACCTCCTCTCCATATAAACAGAAAATGATTTTCATTTTCACAGTATGTGTGTCTGAATTTCTTAGCTATTTGCATCTCTATAATTAGAAGGAGAGATCTGTGTGAGATTTCAAAACAAAACAAGCACCAAAGAAAACTGGGGGGAGTGCATTCTCTAATGGAGAGGATCTGTTGGTGTGATCTGTTAAGACTCAGTAGCATGTCTTAATAAAAAGGTTTTTCTACTTTGATAAATTACAGAAGAATGTTGTTACGAGCAGATGAAGTCCCAGCCTCAGAGACCAGTTAACCACCTACAGGTATTTTTACTTTTGGTTATGGATTTCTGAATTAGGGTAATACGGGCCATCTATCTTTGGTTGTCTGCACAGAAAAAAACCTGTTAATATAGTTAATAACTGTATTCWAAAAAAAAAAAAAAAAAAAAAAAAAAAAAAAAAAAAAGAAAAGAGAAAACCAGATCAAATAATGTCTTGCATCCTGAAGAACCAACCTGGAGTGATTTCATAAGCTTCACTCCTTCCCACAGAGAATCCTTCCACTGATACCTTGATGAATTTTTCCATATTGCCACTATGAGTCATTTACCATTAGGTTAATCTGTTTTCCATTCTCCTGCAGTTTAATAATTTGTACTTTTAATGAGTTTACAGCTAGTTCAGGCAAAATTCAGGCAGAAYTATGATTACAGTGTAGACATATACAAAGTCTTAGATATCATTTTAAAGCAAAGATAACTTCTGAACATTAAAGGGAATTGTCTTTTAGGTGGAGTCTGCCAGTCAGATGTGTTATGCCTCACTTGATCACAGTGTCAAAGGAAAACGAAGAAAACCAARGAGAAAGAAAGATCCTTCATTAGAGGAAGATGAAGAAGAAAGATCATCTAACCCCATGGTGGCTTCCAAAGTTAGCATTTACCTCAATAGTGAGCAGCTGGCTGCTGAAAACACGGCAAAAGAAGAAGCCATTCACGATGATCCCATCCGATTATTGGGCTTGATTCATAATGCAAACGGAGAGAACCAAAGATGAAGTGAACCAAATATGTGACCAAATATGAYTTCCTTTTTCATTCTGGAGGAACAATGAATGATTAGAGGCAATATCCTGGAAAACTGATGTACTAAACAGTGGTATGAAATAAGTGTTCAGACTGTCTTCCAAGCATATTGATAGACTGAGCAAGACATAGGTATAGGTCCAGACTGCTACTCAGATGGATCTGCCCTTCTGAAGACAATTTGAAAGGGTTGCAGAAGCTGGTATTTATTCCAGTAAAAATTGATCCTGTTTTAAACAATCATCAGCTTTCAAGCAGTCCTAAAAGACCTCCAGCACAGTACAAATATTCTATACCAATGTTAACAGTAYTTTTCAAATGAGTTTATGTTTCGTACTTGCACATTTGGTGATTAGTTGTTTAACAATTAAGGACTGATCTGCTGTTCCACACTGTGAACTTTCCACTGTGACTGATCTATGGTAATGACTGGAGAATAATTTAACAGCTGATTTAAAGTAGCAATTGTACATCTCGCAAGACTTAACAGTATCTTTCTATATCTTTATTCTCCTTTAGAAATACTAGAATGCACCTCAAATCTCAACTCCTCTACKAGTGTAACATTGTATCCTGCTGTATTCAGAGTCCACAAAAATATTATCAACCCATCTGTAACAATAAATCTCCTAGGGAGGATTTCTTCTTTCTAATACTCTGTATTATGTTTACATTCTTATTGGGTTTTATATTGCCATCCTCACTATATTACAAAAAACAAAAAGTGCTTTTTATTTCCCCAAACCATTCACTTGCTGTGTGCACATTCATCTGAAGGCTAAACTCTTTAAATGGTAAGTTTTATAGAGCAGATAGCTATTTTTATATTCTGGGAGTCACTGAGTAGCTGCAGCAGGAAGCAGTAAAGCAAGTTGATGTGATAAGGCTTGTCTCTAGGTATCAGACACTTCCTCCTTCTCAAGAACAAAGGATGTTGGTGCCTTCAAAACCCACACAGACAATGCCAAGGAGCTTGAAACTAYGAAGCACAGAGATCCCTACACCTGTTTCAGGTCCTGAAGGAGATAAGCCTGGAAAAAAAAGGCCCAAAGAAAGCCAAGACCTCTCCTATCAGCAGAAATGGATGGACACATCAAGAGATCAGACAAATTTATATTTAAAAAATCGATATAAAAGAAATAGTTGTTTGACAGCCTGGTTAATGCTTACTTTGGTTCATAGGAAATGATCTTATGACTTCCATGCTGGACCAAAAGGGGCCAAGCCCTGCAGCCAAAGCCACCCGGTGCCACTGCCTGTCCTGTGCTAGCACTCACTTTTGTGTGCAGAGCTCAAGTCAGTGTGCTTGGCTGATAATTCCCAGAAACAAGGCAGACATGGAATGAAAATCAGTGTTATGGTCTGAGCCCAGCTACCACTGGATTGGCAGAAACAAGCACTRCTGAAGAACCTATAAAAACCACTTCACTGGACAATCAAATTAAATGAGGACCCTGACTAWAGCCCTATGGAGGGAAAGGAGGTAGGCAAATCCAAAATCAAATATCCAAAGCTAAACACCAGGATACCAGTGCATGAAATACTAACTTAATTTGATTAGAYTGTATTTTGTTCTGKAGTAGGAACTAAGWGATAAAATACAYAAGCACATACTCTTTCTTCAATGTCCATATCAAAACTCGTTAAATAGAATGAATAWGCAAAATATAAACTATTTTATTTCACTGGTACCAAATAGATGCAATATTCAGAGCTCTGAGAAATGGGAAGCTTTCTTAATCTCTCAACCAAATAAGCATAGCCCAAGGGTCTATTTATTATTTTGCAACATATACACAAACCAATGGATATGTATTTTTAATTACTTGTGTACACTTTTCACAGATTTCCTAATTTTCTCACAGAATTTGCACTCTTGATTGTGCCTTGCTTATAAAAATTTAAAAGTCAAAGGAGTTGTACGAGATGCCTAAACTCAACCTAGCATTTCACTCTTATAAATTAATGGAAATGAAGTACCCACTTCTATCATCAAATGCACGTGTAACAGTAAATTCACCATTTAGTTTCCTCTCTATTCTCAGCCCCCAGTCCTYGCAGCAGTTTGTTAATATAGCAGGGTATTGTTGTAAATATTTTCCTTACATGTGTRTATACACAATACATACACACACACTTCCTTTCCACATTTAATCACTGCCTCCATTAAATTATTGATTGATCTTTAATGGCCTATGAATGATTTCCAAGGCATTTCTAATGCTACCACAGTCAAAATTTAGGTTTATTCTTTTGGCTTTTCACCCTCCATCTGCTTAAATAAGCAACTGATAGASCTAATTTATTTATATGAGTCTTTGGGTTATTTTCAAATGACCCAAAGCAGGTTCAGTACTGTTCCATCCTCAAGCCATTAGAGAACGACCTAGATAAACTATCACATACTAGTTAAATTCTTTACATATAAAGCAAGTTTCAACTAATTTCAACAACATAAGTTGAGGTGCTTGGTTCTAGGATTACAGTCTCAGAAACCTCATCTGTTTTTCCAGTGTTTCTTAAATTTTTTTAAAGGAAAGAGAAGCAGAGTAAAGCTGTTTTTATCAACAGTGAACTTAGCATTCAAGTATCAATGTTCAATGGAAGAGTGAAGAATGAGTAAACAAGAGGAAATATGATAGGAAAAGCAAAACTGTTTGGAAGGGAAGAAGAATGGAACTCAAAACACAAAGATCAGGAAGCACCACGAAATCTTTGTAAGTTGAAACAGGTATATCCCACCAGTAATTATAGCATTTGATAATCACTGCAGATGTACCTAGCTAAACAGTATTGTTAGGAAAAACACCACAGATTTCTGCTTATCTCATATTTTAAAGAGTCTGCTGACTCACGCAGTGTTGGAGGATCAACTCTAAAAATAGTTGTCTCCCTGTTTTGCTACTGCTAGCAGCCAAAACGTGGCATTGCCATGATCTTATGTTCCAACACTTCAAGGTTTTCTAAAAGAATTATCTCTTTAAATTATTTTGAAGTWATTTTCTTGGACACAATTTTACTATACTGTATAAACAAATGTACTTTCCTACCTGGGTGACCTGCATTGAAGTTGCTGGGTAGAAGTCAGTATCTAGGGCCAAAACCCAATTTCAGTTGACTTCTAAGTTACTTCAATACAGAAAGCATCCATGAATTATGCAATCTCTCAATTCTGATATATCAAGAAATACTGGGAAAGAATTACCTCAACAAATACAAGAGGAAGATAGTTCATAAAACATATTCCCTACAGTGCATCCATGTCTGGAAAAGGAAGAAAACTGAGCCACAAAGGCATTTCTAAGAGACAATGTTTCGTTGTTGTCATTGAAAGAAACATAATATTCAAATTATGAAGGATAAATATGTGTGTGGAAGTTCTTATTGCAGAGAAAACCTCCCTAGAGGTGGTTTCTTGTCCTATTAAAGAAYAATACTTAAGGTAACAAGATTTTGATATTAAGAGCTAAATAATATAAAACATTCCCGTGTGTCAGGATATAACATAAAGCCAAAGAAAAACAATGTTTTCCTTTTCTGAAAGTCAGAAAGCTAACAAGGAGCAGTGCTGATAAAACAGCAAGTACTTGACACCACTAACACAATCCCCTCGCCAAGAAAGACCACAGCAGTGAATGAGATGTGAGGGTCCCACAGGTTTTTTTTATGTTTTTGCTCATACAGTTAYACAAACTCCTCCTGAGAATTCACGTGGCTGAAATAAAAACGTTGAAAGCAGGTTTTTGCTCAGAACAGTTTATTTAGAGCATATATATTGTCAGGTAGAACTTAGTTCTATTCTGTGTTCTGACAATCAAATCCACAAAAAAAGAATAAAATTTTATTGAACAATCAACTTTGGTGATCTACTTAGAAAACTTTAACATGAAACACATTTAACATTAACACTTTAACATTTAAACACAGCAGACATAAGTCATAGCATATAATAGTGAGTTATATAACAGTAATAGGATCTGTACTGACACATCCAGAAAGCATAAACAGCAGGAATTTAGGTAAATGAGCTTGTCCCTTACTATTAACACATTAAGAATATAAAATTATTAGCAAACAAACAGAATGCAGACCACATTGTTATTATGAACACTGTCATATACATAATTCCAACTTAGCCACAAACTGAGTAAGAAGTGCTCTGTCATAAGGGATGAACCCTTTCCCAAAGATTTGTATTACAATGAAGTATGAATCAGAAGTAGTTGTGTATTACCTACATATAATTATGCATCCTTGATTCTTGGAAGAAGAAACAGCACTAAAGAAAACCCAACATATATAAAATAACATTTTATCTGTCCATGAATGCCTCCTGGGGAGCTTTAACCAGGGAATCATCCAAGGGATTGCTTCAATTAGTCTTTCCATCAGTGTAGCTTAATTTTCTGTATACCCTGAGGAAAAACAACAAACCCCTCTGTTTAGACAATGAAGAAAATGACACAAAAATAATACATTTTTCTGAAACTCCAATGAACAGAATGAAATCCAASCAAATTGTCAAAGCAAGGTGTCTGAACATCTTCACTGAGAACAGCAGCAGCCTTGTGTGCATTCCTGTGTGCTTTTCATGCTTGGTCATTCTAGTGTCTCAGTGTTACTATGTCAATCTAACTTATGTGCATCYATTAAACTTCTAGATGCAATCTTTCAATGAATTCACAAATAGTTAAAAGTTAAAGACACTAGTGAGAACACAATTATTTCCTTGTATATTACTTAAGAAATTGCATAAATTTTCTCTCATGCATTTTAAAACTAACTTTGGTTGCATCTGCCAATTAAGTATAGCAGTATAGCTGTAGGACAGCATTCAAACAGAGCTGAAGAAAAGYTCATTAGTCATAAACATTTCCTCTTCAGAAATCTCTTTCATAACCATCTTCTAGATAAAGGCAATCTGGCTCCAGATAGACAACATTCCTTTTCTTTTCACAGCCTCTCATTACAACATACAGCATTTTGCCACATGGCTTAGGTATAAAACTGCTGAGGGGTCTGAAGCCATTAAAGAGCTTCATCGCAGGGAACCAAAGAAAGCTAAAATTATCACACCACAGGCCTAAGGAAGCTTTCCAGCTGACAGTCCATTTTGGCTACAAATCAGCAATTATGTCTTAATGTAATTAAAGAACAAAGAAATAGATTTTATTCCRGATGGCCTGGAAGAAAATTTGGAAGTCTTGATTTCTCTACTTACGTGCATTGAAGAAAGACAAACCTTCTCCTTAAGAACAAGAACTAATTTTTTAGGAATGGCTACTTTGTATGGGGAGCCAAGATAATGTAGAGAGGAAAAACAAAAGGAAATCTAARAAGTGAGCAAAACTTTGCTCAGTTAAGTGGGCATACTTAACATCACAAWCATCCTTGCATACTCCTCAGCTTGTCTCCAATCTTCCATTATATCCAAAATAATCCAAATATAAACTTTATCAATATTGWATATATTTGTAATACAAGCCTCTAAATTTCAATTCCATCTTTGCTTAAATTGAAACATTTTTCTTCACATCATTAAGCCTCTTTTCTGGTTAAATTCTCCATACAAGTAATTTAAAAATGCTTTCAGCTTTCCTTTGAAGTTCTAATTCCAATATTGTCAGAAAATGCTGATATCAGCTGTATGATCATCTCAAGCATACTGAAAATATCTCTTGACTGAGTTTGGGGAGCCAAACTTGTGGTGACAAATTATACATTATGGCGAAAAGTCATGTAAAAAATGTTTTGGTAAATAAAATCAGGAACTATTTAGAGAACTTTTAGTGCTTTTTAAATACTGTTGAATATTAAATGTTTGTAATTAAAAATCCAAGAGATCTGAAGCTTGATAATCCTTTAAAAGTTATGTATTTTCTAAGAAAAACAGACCTAGTAGGCCCGTATTCAGGGAACCAAAAGGTGTCCTGCTTCCAGAGATATAAACACACTGCCAGTAGTGATARCAGCAGGAGGAGAGGATCTCTCAGATCTTCCAGGCAGAGCCACTGCTCGCATGGAGGCAAAATGCAGTAGGTGATGATGTAGGTGATGATGCCCAAATGTAAAGTATTCTGGGGTGGTGATTAGYGTGGTCTGATCTCTCTGCATGTACCAGCAGTGTCTCTGCAGCTTTTGGAGTTCACTCTGGCCAGCACTGCCCTGGTGCTGTGCAGTAGGGATTCCCCAACACCCTCACTGGTAAAAGGCTGACACACACACACACAGAGTGAGCTTGTAGCTCTTATGTTACTGGAGACAAAGAACCAGAGGGCTCGTCCACGTGGATGTTCCAGAAGTTTATTCCCAGAGGGGATCCAGAGGTGAAGAGAGAGAGCTAAATTCTTTGCCCCCAGATGTGCAGCTGTGGGGCCAATCACCTGAGCCAACAGGGTAGAGAGAGAGGGCAAAGGGGATACAATGACCAATGGGGGAAGGGATGGGTGAAGTGAGGGACCAGATTAGGTCCAGCCGGGGTAGGAGGATTTATATGTTCTTGGAAGGAACCATCAAATTCCCAAGGGAGTTGTTTGGGTCTTTCCACCACCAAGTTCCAGCTGTCCCAGGGCAGTTTGGCTCCCCAGCAGTCCCCAGGGTGGTCTCATCCACCACTACACAACTGCGCAGAGGTCAACTTCTGAAAGTTGTTTTAAATGGAAATATACTTAACTCTCCACACTCTGCAGACCTTAGAGGACTTGTCAGATAAAATACACAGCCACAATCAAAACAATTCTGGAGCATACCGAAAATAATAAATGCCCCCATAATGAACACCAAATAAGGATTACAGTAGCTATTCAGTTAGGTCATCTTATTAACTTGTGCTCAGCAGCTYTCCTTGCTGGAGTCTGGCTGCTTTTGACCACAGACACTTGCCTCTCAGTGTTCAAGTCTGCAGGTGTGATTAGCTTGGGCTCTCCCATACTTATTTTCATTTTACAAGTATGCATATCTTTAACACAAGTAAAGAGGAGTAAGAATTCATTTTGAAATCTCTTTTTTCAAAAGGYTGTTACCTTTGGTGACACTTCCTCACGTTTCTGGGAGAACTGCTATTCTCCATTGCCCCAGGCCAACCAGAGCGTGCACATGCAGTCCCAGATTCTRGTGATGAGAAACAGTAGTATGATAAAGGGCAAGAACAATGCTAAGTAGCATGTACATTACAGAATGTTATCAAAACATTAATCTATTTAAACACTGGAAATACTTCAAGAGTCAAATTTCCTTAAGAAAATATTCTCACGCAAACTAATGAAGTGTCTGAAACTAACCTTGCAGGGAAGTGCCAGGAATACCAAAAWAAGTTTTATCTGAAGAATCCCAAAATGCAGAGCCCTGAAAATAAAGCATCAACATATAGCATTGATAAAAAAGCATACTATTTCACAGCTTGCCTCAGAAGAAATGACTAGGAACCTGGAAATAAGTGTTTGATTTAAATCAGCAAGTCTAATGATTCCAGTGAAAGCCTAATTTGTTTGCTTCACCTTGTCCAACTAGAAAATTGTCATCATTTCAGAAGAAAAACACCATAACTGAGTCACTATTTAAGACCAGTTTAACCAGTGACATTGAAATTGTTACAAATGACAGATTTGATTCCATTTTAATAGGCAAAGTTATTAAATATAGAGAGCTTCCTCATGATCCCGGAGACTTGATACAACTTATATTGTATCAAATAAATATCCTCAAGCCCCCAAGGCTGTAAAACATCCCTTCTGATCAAACAGCACTGGAAGTATGCTATCACTAGTTCAAAAAGCTTGAAGCTCTAATCCATTTTTAAGCCCTTCTCCAAATATCTGAAAGTGCACAATTTTTCACAAGGTCCTTAAATACCTGACAATGAGAGTTGTGATGTGCAAAGAAGCTSGGGTTGCTGCAGTTGTATGAGCTCAAACAATCCACACCAGCTGTCTGAAGATTAATCTTTTTAATGTGGGAAATCTCTTGACATTTCCTTGAAGGAAAACARCCTTCTGGTATATGTTTCATTCGCTTTACTGGTGAACAAAGAAGACACTTCTCAAAATTTCCTACTCTTTTAACTCTGGAAATTGCAGAGTAAGTTTGAACAGGAGAGTTAACAAGAGCATTTACAGTGTCGGGCATCTTTATTCCTTGATATCGCCTTAAATTTGAAGTTCTCTGAAACGCAGGAGATTTTGGAACAAGCKCCCCACACCGTTGCTCATACAACCTGTCAAATTTTGTATCACACTGTTTAGGGGGCATCAGAGAGTCACTTGAATAACTCCTCACTAATCTTCTTTTCTCTTCATGGTTCCACRAATTTAAAAGAGGTCTTGTCGGTGTCAAAGACTTTTGGAATTCTTTGGAACAGACTTTGTAGTAGAGATGATCAAATGCATCTTTGCTTTTTTGGGGCATCTTTGAAGGACTTTGCTTCATAAAACATGAGGAAAATGAGTGTTTGGGCTGGAAAAAAGTTTGTCTTGCAGAAATTGTTTTTCCAGGACTTATGAGTGCAGTAATTGATGATCTTGAAGGAGAATARTTTGTGATGGATGTAAAATTGTTACTATTGCCATCGGAACTGCAAGCAGACGAACACAACTCTGACGTATCAACACAAGAAAAGTCTGTTTTCTGAGTCTTACTCTGTTTTGCAAGACGAAGTGCTCTGGAATCTGAAATAGCAGTAGGTGGTATAAAACTATATTCTGAGGAAGATCTGCAAGCCAATTTTTCATTTTCTGTATATTCTGAAGTCTTTGGTGAGGTAGTAGTCAGTAATTCATCTTCAACTACAAATGTCTCTCCCATTCTAGCCATAACATCAGGAAAAGCAGTGTGTTTGTAGACCTTTTGGCCGTTTCCAGATACCAAATGTTGTTCTAAACTTGAGTCAGCGTAGTCTGTTTTGATTTCATTTGTATCAGTATAAGCATAAGGTACCAAATCAGATGAACTACCAGCTGTCATGTCACAAAATTTTCCACTCTCATTTCCAAAAGTTGGATTCTGCTTGTCTTCACTTATACAGCTGCATGAGCTGTGTGATGCTTTAGTTTTTCTCATTTTGTCTACAGTGACACTGAGCTTTGGTCTTTTGAAATGCCATTTTTTGGACCTTGAGGACCCAAACATGTTTTTTAACAGTTTTTTCTGAGAGCGCTTTGTCATGAGCCTTCCAAGCAGCTCTACCATTTCTGGATACAAGTCTGCAAGAGTTGTATTGCCCCAGGAGCACTCCTCATCTGCAGACTGGTATTCTCGGTGGATAACATCACACAGACTTTTATTCCATTCTGAACAAGGTYGATGCCTGGTTATGGTTACTGTATTTGGTGACATGGGAACACCAGAATGTTGTAACTGCAGATATTGGGATGAAGAACATTCATTTGGCAACTCTAGCTTCTTTTTGCAAACAGCTCGATTACCTATTCCAAAAAAAAAAAAAACCCAAACCCACATTTGAGTCAAAAAACAAAAACAGAAGACAGGAAAGATTCCAAAGCTATTAAGGCACTATCAGTAATATATTATATGACTTAAAACCAACTGCATATGCTAGAGATAGTCTCACTGTAACTCCATATTTCATTAAGCTTTAGTGCCAGACTACATGGATGATTAACATGCTATCAGGGAAAAAATTAAATGTACTTCCTAACCATATGAAATTCTGAGATCATAGAGGACAGAAACTAMATGTGTTGGGGAAAACTCCAGTATYTGAATTACCATAATATACAGATATTCATTGCATAGGAAGACTTCCTTGCCCTTTGTGACTTCTGGTCAGAAGTAAAAGGCTTAATCCAAAAGGTTTTACCACTTTTTTTTCATGATCCTTGAAAGCTTTGTACTTGGCTAGGACAAATGCAGCTTTTGCTTTCATAAACCATAAYGAAAATAATGGCTTTTTATATTTATTAAGGTTAGAATATATACACCAAAACTTTWAGCTTTGCCTCAATTCTGGAAAGCTTCTGAAGAAAGTGTACTAGCAAAGTAAACTTACACTTTGACTACCAATTACCAGCAGTCCCAAAGCCATTACATTCCCTGAATTTAGAGTAAGCAGAACTAAAAAATATTGCTTTCAATGAGCTAAACGCTGCCAAATTTTGTAACTATGGATATTATTTTTCCTGAGGCTATGTGAGAAAAGCTGGGATTATGTACACAGACKATTTACTTTCTCTTTTTCAAAGACATTTTGCCATAAGCAGTGATATCTAAATTTCCTTTGAAATTCAGCCTGTTGAACTTCTCAACTGAATAAATAATGCCTTTGTGTCTACAAGAAATCAAATATTTTTACTAATACATTTTAATAAAACCACATTTTTAACTAATGTATTTGACCAACAAGCAAAAGATTTAATTGTACCAATCCTTTCTTGCACTGGTGAAGTTAAACGATAACCTTTCGACAAAGCTGGAGGTGTTATCTGAAAAACAAATAAAGAAATGTAATATTCTTGAGTTTTTTGCATGTTAAGTATAACATAAAAACATTAATTGCGACTCCCCCTCCTCCTGCTATGCTAGGTCATGTGCAGTTATGGTCTTTAGGGGCTCAGCCACCTTCAGTCAAAGTGGAAAAAAACTAGTCTAAGACTTCAGTAAGAAGTTTTAGGAGTTACTAGTTTAATATTGCAAAGCTATTAATAATTTTTTCCAATGTACAAATTATGTATCATGCATTAATCCCTTTTTAAATATAAGAATTTATACATAGAAATGTGTGTACATATATAGACACACACACACCCCTTGCCCCCCCACCCCAGATAATCCACACATCTCTGGCAGCTCCTGCAGAAAACAGAAACTCACCCTCAAATCAAAATCTTTTTTTTCTCTATAGACCTCACATTTAGACTTTTTGGATAACTTATTGATCCAAKATCAACTTGCTCATCAGGGTTTGAAGAATAAAATATAAAAGWAAAAACAAATTTGCAAATAAATTGCTCTATTTCTTACAAATAAATGCTGTCAAAAATCTGAGATACTATATTTACACAGAAAACCAGCAGGAAAAAAAAAAATGGTAGAACCACAGAGAAATTGTATCAGATTTCATCGTGCTACCCAGTTAGAGAGTTCTCAGTTTATTCTAACTAGCTAATAACTAATAACAGAATAAGAGAGATATCTTACCGTTATCCATTTGGGAATTCCTCTAGCATCATCCTGCACTATGATATCCACTCGTACCTTTTCATTCTTTTGGATTTTTCCATCCTCTACATTCAGATTCTTAGAGGAAAATTAAATTATTAAAACACATAGTAATTATTGGCACAGACAAACCTAAACTTATTACTGAAATTTACTGCAAGCTAGTGTTACCTCGATGAGAATATGCAACCAGCATAAACTTATTTTGAATGTACACATTTTATGTAAAGAAGAACAAATCTCAAATGAACTATATGTGAGAATATATAAAAAGGAATAATGAACTAGTTTAGGCAGGGAAAAGCACACATGGTTTGAAGATCCATTGATAAAGACAAACAAACCACCCAAATAAATAAAGGAGGAAAAAAGGGAAAATGGTTACAAAGCTCTGCTAATCAGAGCTGCAAATCTTTACATACATTAACATCCTGTGGGAACTCCTATACAAATTAAGGTCTGCCCTGCAATGCCCCTCTACGTAAGAACTAGTAGAATTTTGTAGGAAATGGTAATTCATTAATTAAACTGTCACCTCCTGAAGCAGATTGCTTTAGCTGTTGCCAGAGAGAGGACACTAGCACTGTGCTAAACCAGTAAGGAAAGTAAATCACATTTTTGGTAACGATATTTGAGCAAGCAGAACACAGGATTAAAATTGCTGCACACAAAAAGGGTGTGTTAGATTTTTCTTCAACAATGTAAATACTCTGGGAAGTCCTGACAACCATAGTCTAGCTTGGGAAGCAACAGCAGAAGATTCCAGTCTGCTTTTGTTATAGCAGCCATTATTTCACAATTACCTTTTGTTTTAAATGACGTTACCTATTTATGCTAGACTCAGAATGACCATCTTTTTTACAAATGTTTTCATTTAAAAATCCATCTGGTTGGCTTTTTTGCTTACCAACAGAAGCCTTTCTAAGAGTTGCCTGTTGGTGCAGTACATCGTATGATTTTCTCTGGCCTACTTGTATTACCAAGACAAAAATGTTACTTAAAATTGGTCTTCATGACAGCATTTACTGAACCCCTCACTTGTTATACTTGATAAAAATGTGCATTAAGATGCAGACTATAGTAAGTCTTCTGCTGACTGTATCAACTCATCAGGCATGTGTAAATGATTCAAATAGTTAATAATTTCTGTTGAACACAAAATCATTATTAGACACTAGAGATTTTTACCTGAAGCTGAATGTTTTCAAATTTTCTTCTTGTTTTTACCATATCACTTGCTTCATCTGCAATTTGAAGGCAAATATTAAATAGAGCTGAATTCAAAATGAAAACAGAAATGGTTAAAAATGCACACTGTGTAGAATTATTAACTATAACGTTTTCATTTTAGAAAATAGTTTTCTGCACTATAAATTTCAGATGTACTACATTTCTGTTTCAAATTCTAATTGAAAAGCTTGGTTTGTGGGTTCATAAGTGACTGGAGAGGAACAAAGGATGAAGACAACTTGTTTGCAACCAGTTCTTCAGGATTTATGTTAAACAGTTCAGAGAGTAAAATATTTTCAATACTCTTTCTTTTCTTGCCCTATAATATTCATTATGCATGAATGCATAATTCCCACTACATTCCTAAATATCCCAACAAAGATAGCAAGGACCTTCTCACACTTCCTCTGCAATTTTTCCTCACTGTCAATTCTGCCTCAGAACTCACAAAGTGAGTACACTTGAGGTACACTTGAGGGTACACTTGAGAATATGAGAAAACAAGTCCAAATCTTTTAACTCMGTTTTTAGGTATTCTATGTACTTTTGTGAAGGAAATGCAACAACATATTTTTTTTGCCATATGTAGCCAGACATTCCAATTCATCATTAGCTAAAGTACAGGCATTCATGATCATAAAATATGTGACTGCATTGTAAGCCCTGATACCTGAATTTCCCTGGATGCCCCACAGGGAAGGAAAAAGGAGAAGAGAATAACCCTAAAAACTCTGAGTGAAAAAAGGTCTGGATTATGATGCCTACCACATCTCTGCCTTGTCATACTATTCTTAAATTGCCATTACTCTTTCTGCCATGCAACCTTCTTCCTCCAGCAGAAATGGGCACAAACCTGTCAGATTGWTTCCTAAATGCTCATCAAGACGAACAGACTAGACTGCTATAAATATGGGAACTTCTGGAAATAAGGGGAACAACTCCTGGGTCCAGGAATGGTCGACTCCATCAGGCCAATTATCAATTATTAGAAAACAGCTTGTACCACAGAATAAATTGRTTTGCATACAATTTAAATATTCTTCTAGATGCGAATCCTCAAAAAACTAATTTTACTATATCTTCAATGTACTGTCAATCATACTTTCACATCACTGGAATTTTACTTATTAGCAGAGGGCCATGCCATAGAACAGAAAAAAAAGTATTTTCTCCAAGAAATCTGAAAGTGTTTTTAMAGGCCAAAAGGGAAATTCAGTAACACCTTTGCACCTCAGAGGGAGAACAGAGAATGGTGGGAGTTTTTTCTCTCTCAAAAAACCTATAATACAGAAAGCTATTTCACTGCAGATGCACCCAAACRCTATTATTGCCTAAGTTGTAATTTATTGATCCCTTTCTCCAAATAARYTTATSTTTCTCTGATAMGTAMCCTGMTAGATACAAGTAATAGTTCAGATAYCYRCTGCCATGYTACTTCCTGKGAAAGCACAGAGAGTAACCTTAATAATTTTCCCTATTAAGGACAGGCAAATACTTGCTGGTCCAGGTGAGAGCTGTTCCACTGCAGTTCTACCTGCTGTAGAGAGGCTTTGCATACTTTCAACACAAAAATAGTGTATAATATCTAGAAGAAACACAGCCTTCACTGAGAAGTGTGAAACGTCTGTATAAATACTAAAATTGGAAAACACCTRCCAAAACTAAACTTTTAGCTAAAGCAACTACAGATAATATGAAAGGTAACCAATAAGGCATGTTAACTTAAGAAAAAAAATTTTAAAAAGCCCAAAACCAAATCAACAACAAAAAAAAGCCCCCCAAAAAAATCAACACAACCAAAAGCCAAAAAACCCCAAACCGCAGGGTGAATTCAGTTTTTTACACAAGGCATCCAATCCCACAACCCTAAGAATGCAATTCCTGCATCTTACAGTATTTGGAGAGCGGACATTCATGTAGGTTTCTATAAATCCTCTCCAGTCTCTTCACAGACCATTCATAAGAGGAGGAGGAAAAGTGGATAATTATATTATTGTACGCTGCTGTGAAGAAACCAGAGTCTGAACCACTTTACTTCTGTATCCCACAAGTGCAAAAGATACAGGACACTTACAGAAGCCAAGCTACAGATGCCTCTGAAATTTCTTTCCTATGTTTTGTTGAGCAGGTTGAGAAAAAAAAAAATATATTCTAAATTGGCAGAAATTATTTTATCATTCAAGTAGTTATTTGAAATTATTCTCTCAAATGTCAGAAAATAACAGTCTGACATGTTTCCTCCTATTTACTCTCAGCAGGGAAGGAACTGTCTGCCTTAAAGGCAGCTATGTAGAGAAGAACCTAATTAAATACCAGAGTACTTAAACCCCAGCTAACCATATTTTACTGTAACTGCTCTTTAAGCCAATAACTGCAGGCTACCTGCTAGTCATAGTTTTATTTATGAAAAATAGTAAGTTTTTATTTGCTCAAGAATCAAAAAATGTTCAGTACTACTAATAAAAATATTTAAGAAAAAACAGTGAAAGACCATGGCCACTAATTAAAACAATCAAATAATTATTGGGGAATACAAAGTCAAAACCTCCCAAAAAAACTTTGCAGACAGGCCACAAGACTGATGCCAAAACCTTTACAAACACTACTGAAGAATTGTTGCAACTCAGTGCAAACCTATTTACCCCTCTCCTAATATTTAATGTATGTATTTTAAGTATTAATAAAACTTCCACTGATATATTGATACCTAGGCTAAGGTTTTTATTTCACTGTTTCTTTCTTTAGAAAGAAAGGACAGTGGAACATATTCTACACTGACTATGCAACTATCAAGGATCCCAGACTGAAATGTCAAAGAGGAATATTAATATTGATTTCACAGAATTATCAGTACCTCAGACTCTTACAATACTCTACTTTCTGAAAGGGCACAGAACATGTATAAAAAACTAATTTTACTATTGTAGAACGGGATGAAGTAGTTACTTGCAATTTGCTCAAAATATTAAAAAAAATTTAAAACCCACCTGTATCAGATGTGTCCCCACCAGAGTTCTCAGAAGATTCCTTAAAAGCACATAAAAAAAATTTTAAAACCTGGTAGCTTAACCTATATCAATTAGTCTGTAGAATTTTCAGCTTCCACTACTTGCTCAATTTTGTTTGAGGGGGTTGGTAGCGGAACAAATGCAACAGCATTCCACCAATTCTGTGCAAATCACACCATCTTTATTAACAAATCTATACACAAACTCACCTTGAGTCAAAAGCAGCTATTCTAGACTTTACAGATTTAGCAAATAATAATTAGGTTCACATATTGCCTAACTAAAAAGGTACTCAGTGGTTAAAAGCCTATATCCAACTGCTCTCTCTCCCTCTCCAAATAAACTTAATAATTCAGCTGAAATGCATGATTGATATCATGGTACAGGACCACCTATTCATAGCTAATTCCTCAGCTTTTGACTACATAAATACATTTTCCTAAAGAGGCTGTGATAGAACCACAGAATGGTTTGGGTTGGAAGAGACCTTAAAGATCATCCAATTCCAACCCATCTGTGATGGCCAAGGACATCTCCCAACAGAGCAGACTTCTCAAAGCCTCATCCAGCCTGGCCTGGAACACTCCAGAAAAGCAGATGTAATGTTANGCATTCCACCAATTCTGTCCAAATCACATCATCTTTATTGACAAATCTATACACAAACTCACCTTGAGTCAAAAGAAGCTATTGTAGAYTTTACAGATTTAACAAATAATAATTAAAGTTAGGTTCACATATTGCCTAACTAAAAAGTTACTCAATAGTTAAAAGCCTATATCCAACTGCTCTCTCTCCCTCTCCAAATAAACTTAATAAATCAGCTGAAATGCATGATTGATATCATGGTACAGGACCACCTATTCATAACTAATTCCCCAGCTTTTGACTACATAAATACATTTTCCTAAAGAGGCTGTGATAGACCCACAGAATGGTTTGGGTTGGAAGAGACCTTCAAGATCATCTAATTCCAACCCGTCTGTGATGGCCAAGGACATCTCCCAACAGAGCAGACTTCTCAAAGCCTCATCCAGCCTGGCCTGGAACACTCCAGAAAAGCAGATGTAATGTTATAGCCATACCTGATGTAGTGTTGAGTGTTCATCTTCAGAATCACTGCTCTGTTGCTTTGACATTTCTTAGCATGAATGGGAGGGAAAAAAAAAATTCTATTACTTCTATAATATTGAGCCTCTCTTGTTCTTATTTTTTTAAATTTCTTTAATTTTACCTACTATTTATGTCCTATCACTAGTGGCTCTAGCAAGTGGTTTCTTTTTCTGACTCACTGCAGCAAGTCACGCTATTATGAAACACAAGCCAAAGTACTCCAGCACACATTTTATCACTGTTGAACAGCACAGAATACCTGCTTTGTGTGCTTTACATCTGAATCATCTGTGTATATCTTCTAGCACAGTATGTGCTAATTTTACAGCAGAGCGTGACACTTGGTTGGCTCAACCAGCTTTCAAAATTGTCTCTTCCCGCACTAGGTTATTCCCAACTGAGTCTATTCCTTTGAACTTCTTTACATGAAATCACACAAATTTTATTTTTAATTTTGGCCAAGATTTGTCAGACATCCTTCTCAGTGGTCAACCCTGGTTGGTGTCATCTGAGGGTTAACTAAAGATATCTCCTCTTGTACTATTTACTTAAACAAAATATAAACTAATTACGTGCACAGGACAAATCCCAAAAAAAAAGATCCCCATGTTTCCCGCAAGTTTGGATAACTATACTAAGCACAGTTCTGCAACCAGTGGGCCACAAAACTAATCATATAAAATTCGTTAAACATATTATATAACTAGAAATCTCTGGCTTAAGGTGGTAACCTTAATAAAGACTTTTTTTAATTGTTAAGGTTAGAATATTTACACCAAAACTTTTAGCTTTGCCTCAATTCTGGAAAGCTTCTGAAGAAAGTATACTAGCAAAGTACCACTTTGACTACCAAAACCAGTCTATTACATTCCCTGAATTTAAAGTAAGCAGAACTAAAAAAAAATCAGCTTTCAGTTGGCTAAATGCTGCCAAATTTTATAACTATGGATTTTTTCCCTGAGGCTATGTGAGAAAAGCTGGGATTATGTAAACAAATGATTTACTTTGTTTTTCAAAGACATTTTGCCATAACAATAGTGATATCTAAATTTCCTTTGAAATTCAGCCTGTTGAACTTTTCAGCTGGATAAATAATGCCTTCGTGTGTACAAGAAATTAAATATTTTTACTGATAAATTTTAATAAAACAACATTTTGTAACTAATGTATTTGACCAACAAGCAAAAGATTTAATTGTACCGATCCGTTCTTGCACTGGTGAAGTTAAACGATAACCTTTCGACAAAGCTGGAGGTGTTATCTGAAAAACAAATAAAGAAAAAAAATGTAATATTCTGAGTTTTTAGCATGTTAAGTATAACATAAAAACATTACTCGTCAGTTCTCCTCTTGCTATGCTAGGTCATGTGCAGTTATGGTCTTTAGGGGCTCAGCCAACTTCAGTCAAAGTGGAAAATATCTAGTCTAAGACTTCTTACTGACGTTTTAGGAGTTATTAGTTTAATCTTGCAAAGCTATTAATAAATTTTTCCAATGTATTAATTAGGTATCATGCATAAATCCATTTTCCAAATATAAGAATTTATACATAGATATGTGTGTACATATATCCACACACACACCCCTTGCCCACCCACCCCGGATAATCCACACATCTCTGGCAGCTCCTGCAGAAAACTGCAGAAACTATAGCAGAAGCTCACCCTCAAATCAAAATCGTTTTGTTTCTCTACAGACCTCACATTTAGACGTTTTGGAAAACTTATTGATACAAGATCAACTTGCACATCAGGGGTCGAAGAGTAAAATATAAAAGTAAAAACAAATTTGCAAATAAATTGCTCTCTTACAAATAATTGCTGTCAAAAATCTGAGATACTATATTTACACAGAAAACAAGCAGGAAAAAAATGATAGAATCACAGAGAAATTTTGTTAGATTTCATTGTACTACCCATTTAGAGAGTTCTCAGATTATTCTAGCTAGCTAATAATTAATAACAGAATAAGAGAAATATCTTACCGTTATCCATTTGGGAATTCCTCTAGCATCATCTTGTACTATGATATCCACTCGTACCTTTTCATTCTTTTGGATTTTTCCATCATCTACATTCAGATTCTTAGAGGAAAATTAAATTATTAAAACACATAGTAATTATTGGCACAGACAAACCTAAACTTATTACTGAAATTTACTGCAAACTAGTGTTACTCAGATGAGAATATGCAACCAGCATAAACTTATTTTGAATGTACACATTTTATGTAAAGAAGAACAAATCTCAAATGAACTATGTGTGAGAATATATAAAAAGGAATAATGAACTAGTTTAGTCAGGGRAAAGCACACATGGCCTTGAAGATCCACTGATAAAGACAAACAAACCACCCAAATAAAGAAAAGAGGAGAAAAGGTAAAATGGTTACAAAGCTCTGCTAATCAGAGCTGCAAATCTTTACATGTATTAACATCCTGTGGAAACTCAGTATACAAATTAAAGTCTGCCCTGCAATGCCCCTTTAGGTAAAATCTAGTAGAATTTTGTAGGAAATGGTAATTCATTAATTAAACTCTCATCTCTTGAAGCAGATTGCATTAGCTGTTGCCAGAGAAAGGACACTAGCACTGTGCTAAACCAGTAAGGAAAGTAAATCACATTTTTGGTAATGATATTTGAGCAAGCAGAACACAGGATTAAAATTGCTGCACACAAAAAGGGTGTGTTAGATTTTTCTTCCACAATGTAAATACTCTGGGAAGTCCTGACAACCATAGTCTAGTTTGGGAAGCAACAGCAGAAGATTCTCGTCTGCTTTTGTTATAGCAGCCATTATTTCACATTTACCTTTTGTTTTAAATTATGTTAACTATTTATGCTAGACTCTCAGAATGACCATCTTTTTTACAAATGTTTTCATTTAAAAATCCATCTGGTTGGCTTTTTTGCTTACCAACAGAAGCCTTTCTAAGAGTTGCCTGTTGGTGCWGTACATCGTATGATTTTCTCTGGCCTACTTGTATTACCAAGACAAAAATGTYACTKAAAATTGGTCTTCATGACAGCATTTAYTGAACCCCTCACTTGTTAYACTTGATAAAAATGTGCATTAAGATGCAGACTATAGTAMGTCTTCTGCTGACTGTATCAACTCATCAGGCATGTGTAAACKATTCAAATAGTTAATAATTTCTGTTGAACACAAAATCATTATTAGACACTAGADATTTTTACCTGRAGCTGAAYGTTTTCAAATTTTCTTCTTGTTTTYACYATATCACTTGCTTCATCTGCAATTTGAAGGCAAATATTAAATAGAGCTGAATTCAAAATGAAAACAGAAATGGTTAAAAATGCACACTGTGTAGAGTTATTAACTATAGTGTTTTCATTTTAGAAAATAGTTTTCTGCACTATAAATTTCAGATGTACTACATTTCTGTTTCAAATTCTAATTGAAAAGCTTGGTTTGTGGGTTCATAAGTGACTGGAGAGGAACAAAGAAGGATGAAGACAACTTGTTTGCAACCAGTTCTTCAGGATTTATGTTAAACAGTTCAGAGAGTAAAATATTTTCAATGCTTTTTCTTTTCTTGCTCTATAAGATTCCTTATTCATGAATGCATAATTCCCACTACATTCCTCAATATTCCACCAAAGATAGCAAGGACGTTCTTATCACACTTCCTCTGCAATTTCCCTATTGTCAAGACTGCCTTAGAACCCTGCTTGAATTCAGTTTTTTACGCAAGGCATCCAATCCCACAACCCTAAGAATCCAATTCCTGCATCTTACAGTGTTTGGATAGCGGATATTCACTTAGGTTTCTATAAATCCTCTCTAGTCTCTTCACAGACCATTCATAAGAGGAGGAGGAGAAGTGGATAATTATATTATTGTATGCTGCTGTGAAGAAACCAGAGTCTGAACCACTTTGCTTCTTTATCCCACAAGTGCAAAAGATACAGGACACTTACAGAAGCCAAGCTACAGATGTCTCTGGAATTTCTTTCCTATGTTTTGTTGAGCAGGTTGAAAAGAAAAAAATCATATCTTCTGAATTGGCAGTAATTATTTTATCATTCAAATAGTTATTTGAAATTATTCTCCCAAATGTCAGAAAATAGCAGTCTGACATGTTTCCTCCTATTTACTCTCAGCAGGGAAGGAACTGTGTGCCTTTAAACCAGCTATGTAGAGAAGAACCTAATTAAATACCAGAGTACTTAAAACCCAGCTAACCATATTTTACTGTAACTGCTCTTTMAGCCATTAACTGCAGGCTACCTCCTAGCCATAGTTTTATTTATGAAAAATAGTAAGTTTTTATTTGCTCAAGAATCAAAAAATGTTCAGTAGTACTGGAAAAATATTTAAGAAACAACCATTGCAACTAATTAAAATAATCAAATAATTATTTGGGAATACAAAGTCATAACCTCCCAAAAAAACTTTGCAGACAGGCCACAAGACTGATGCCAAAGCCTTTACCAACACTACTGAAGAATTTTTGCAATTCAGGACAAACCTGTTTACCACTTCCCCTCATATTTAACGTATGTATTATAACTATTAATAAAACTTCTACTGATATATTGATACCTAGGCTAAGGTTTTTATTTCACTGTTTCTTTCTTTATAAAGAAAGGGCAGTGGAACATATTCTACACTGACTATGCAACTATCAGGGATCCCAGACTGAAATGTCGAAGAGGAATATTAATATTGATTTCACAGAATTATCAGTACCTCAGACTCTTACAATTCCTATTCTCTACTTGCTGAAAGGGTACAGAACATGTATAAAAACTAATTTTACTATAGGAGAAAGGGATGAAGTAGTTACTTGCAATTTGCTCAAAAAGTTAAAAAACATTTAAAACCCACCTGCATCAGATGTGTCCACACCAGAGTTCTCAGAAGATTCCTTAAAAGCACATAAAAATATTTTAAAACCTGGTAGCTTAACCTATATCAATTAGTCTGTAGAATTTTCTGCTGTCACTACTTAGTCAATTTTGTTTGAGTGGGTTGGTAGCGGAACAAATGCAACTGCATTCTACCAATTCTGTCCAAATCACATCATCTTTATTAACAAATCTATACACAAACTCACCTTGAGTCAAAAGAAACAATTCTAGACTTTACAGATTTTACAAATAATAATTACAGTTAGGTTCACATATTGCCTAACTAAAAAGGTACTCGATAGTTAAAAGCCTATATCCAACTGCTCTCTCTCCCTCTCCAAATAAACTTAATAATTCAGCTGAAATGCATGATTGATATCATTGTACAGGACCACCTATTCATAACTAATTCCTCAGCTTTTGACTACATAAATACATTTTCCTAAAGAGGCTGTGATAGAACCACAGAATGGTATGGGTTGGAAGAGACCTTCAAGATCATCTAATTCCAACCCGTCTGTGATGGCCAAGGACATCTCCCAACAGAGCA